GTTAATAATTTACCAAGATAGTTTAGAAACAATATTTAATTAAAAAGTTATGATAATTGATGATATAGGCTATAGTCTTGATGTGCAGCCGAGTGTTGCTATGTTTTCAAAAGGAAACACAAAACTTTTAATGTGTGTTAATTTTTCGCTCTATAAATTGCTACAAATACCATTTTAATTTTATATACTGCACTTGGTTTATGTAAAATTTTGAATTATATAACTTATATAATAATTAAATTATCATTAAATATGAAAGATTAAAAGCAAAACCCAAATATAGTTAAAGCTTTGCTATAAAGTTTTGCGCTGTATTGCCATTGCTATAAGTTATAGCTTATAAGTGCTACACTTATTTCATATTACTGTACTAACTATACATTTACACAGTGAATACACTGTACACAGTATGCAGTAATAAATACCTGAATAAGTTTTGGGCAACAGAGCTCTGGGCAAAAAGTCTAAATTGCATTATATATATTGCATTTGAAAGGGAGGGTCAGAGAAAATGAAATTATTTATAGGGTCTGAAGAGAGAGATGCGCCTCTTGTTGTGCTCCAAATGCAGACACACCTGACTATTAATTGCATTTTTTTGCCTCAATTTCATAGGCAGTCGTATAATTACGGTCCGCACCAGAGATGAAGACAGGGATTCAATAGAGTATAGCATAGATAAGGCTATGTTTTTGGACGGCTCGCGTTTTTTCACCATCAATCCCAAGAATGGCGATGTGTTTCTCAAGGAGTCTTTGTTAGGACAGGTAAGCAGTGATTATTATTAGTAATCAACGCTTTGGTAAAACATGCAAAACACATGAAATTTAAAAATGACAAAATATGGCAAAACATTCATGGAAATGAGTATTTATTAAATATAGTATAAGTATTTAACAACATTTAAATACCAATTGTAAGCACTTTAATAAAATTATTATTATAAGATGTGCCCAACAGTGTACCAAATATTATGTTCAGATAGAAAAGATTTTTTTGCAACAAAAATATAGCTCAACAAAGATTTTTATTATGCATTCCTAATATTGTTAGGCGTTATTACAATCAATCATTGCTCAAAACTCCGGCGCTTTAACGATATGACAGGACATTAAAATACATCTTATTATAAAAAACCTGAACTCCTTAAAGAAAAATTCAATAATTAGATTATTTTTATGATTTCTGTTTATCGATCGTTTTAAATGCCTTACTCGTTAAAAATTATTGTATTCTCGTTTAAAAGTATTATTTAAAGTATTATTTAAATTTGAGAAATAAATATATTTTATTAACTCATAGGCATAGAAAAAAAAGTTTCTTTAAATGTTAAATAAATATCATTCAAACATCTAATGGATATTAAGCCGAGAGAGAGAGAGAGAGAGAGAGAGAGAGAGAGAGAAGTGCCAGGACTTTAATGCCATGAAAATAGCAGTGATTATAGTAAAGAACTGTTGAGCTATAAACTCGTTATTTCTATAGAATTATCAGATTTTTATGTGTTTTGTGAATAGAGAATAATGTGTTGACACAAAACTAAGAACTATTTTTATTGCATTATTTTTAGGCTGGAAATGATTGCTATCTGTTTATTACGGCTAATGATGGACATCAAACAGTAAGTCAATTGTCGAGAGATTTTTATATCACGAATATTTTTTGTTCACATCGTTTTATATGCAACACCACATTCAGTAACCAAAAAAAACTTAAAATTCCTTTTAAATGATTACTTGTAGGCAAAAATCGAAGTATTTGTGAGAATATTGAATTCGGACAGAGATTTCAGTTCCGGGAAAGATGGCAACGACACGATCGCGGCCTCGTATGCGGGCATTGCAATGCGGCGGCCTTTTCCGCCCTTCATTAACGCACAATTACCGCCTCAGAGGCCAAGAGAGACCGTCTTTGTCACTCCCGCGTCACGTAAGCCCTCCGCCACCTCTGCCTCAGTTGAGAAGAAGTTATTATCACCGAAGGCTAAGAACGCCTCGGCCTCCGATACCGTTGCCGCTCGACAAACAACTACAACAACTCCCGCGTCTCAATCGGTACCAACTGTTCAAACGGATGTACCAACGAAGCCATCAGACGACCCGTTCCAGCGCTCGGCCGGAGGAGCAGCCAATAGGACTGGCGACGGACTTGACTTGATTACCGCTTTCCTGCCGCTGTTGGCAGCCGTTTGTTTTGCGCCCATCGCTGGCCTCGTCTTCTGGATTCTACACCATCGGTGCAAAAAGGCCTCCAATCGGAACCTAATGAAGTCATTCTCGCAAAAAATCATTAATACAGACAAAGCCGGTGGCAGTAGTGAGACCAGCATTAGCTCCGTGTCGGCCGAACTCGACTATAACGGCGCTCTTTTTGCACAAATTCGGGCCAAAAATTCTCTTCAAAGTAAGAGTGAGCCAAACAAATACACCTCCACTTTGAATATACCGATTGGTGAGGACAAGACGTGGGAATTCCCTCGACATCACCTCCACTTCTTGGGCATTCTGGGCGAGGGCTGCTTCGGTCAGGTGTGGAAATGCGAAGCGTTTAATATATTCAACAACGATAGCAAAGATATCGTCGCCGTTAAGACTCTTAAAGAGAACGCTTCGGAGAAAGAGAGGAAGGATTTGTTGACAGAACTAGAGATCATGAAAATGCTTGAACCGCACCCTAATGTGGTCACCCTATTGGGCAGCTGTACGGATAGGGATCCAGTCTTTCTGATCATGGAATTCGTTCCGTTCGGGAAATTACAGTCATATTTGAGAGACAGTCGGGAACGCAATTCTGACCGCTATTACGGCAATCTTCACGGCAGTAGTAATCGATTGTCGGCCAGAGATCTGACATCATTTGCATACCAAGTGGCAAAGGCTATGGAATATCTCGCATCCAAAGGGGTCAGTAGTTTGCAATCATTTGATTGTTGTTTGGATCATAATGTAATATAATTAAAACTAACAAAACGTGTTTTTATAGATAATTCACAGAGATTTGGCCGCAAGAAATGTTTTGGTCGGAAATAATAACACAATAAAAGTGGCCGACTTTGGGTTTGCGAGGGATGTGGTCGCTAATCATGTTTATGAACGCAAATCTGAGGTAGTTTTACATTGATTAGAATATTATTGACATAAATATTAATATAACGCTTAAATTGCATTTTAGGGTCGATTACCAATCAGATGGATGGCCATTGAATCTCTCATAGACTCCATCTTCACAACCAAGAGTGATGTCTGGAGTTTTGGTAAATAATATCGCAATCATTTGCTATAACTTATATTAATAAATAATTGTATTAAAGGTGTGTTGATGTGGGAGATCGTGACACTGGGAGGCACTCCATATCCCGGTTTAGCGGCGGCTGAAGTGATAAAATACGTGCGCGAAGGCAACCGACTACTAAAGCCCGAGCACTGCAAACGCGAAATGTATAATATTATGTACTATTGTTGGGACAGAGATCCCAATCAGAGGCCAACGTTTACACAATTAGTTGAATATTTAGATAAACTCTTAATTAGTGAAAACGATTACATAGAGTTAGACAGGTTTCCCGACCACTCCTACTATAATACCATCCCTGACCTGACGGGAGAGAAATTGTGATCAATTTTTCAAAAATAATTGATTTCATTAAATATATAATAATTTATACAAAACAAAATATATTGTAGTTTATATTAAATATGAACTTTTTATTATTAATATTTATTTTTAAATTAAATAATCAATTAATGTATAAATTTATAAATTAAACACAAATAAATTCTATTACAGAATATTGTAAAAAACAAAAGACTAGATATTTTGATGAATTATGTCGAAAGTTCTCGACGTCTGAAAAATTAATAAAATTTATTTCAATATGAATTACAATTGAGTAAAGAAAGAGAGCATTAATTACCCCAATGTATGCTTTAATGGTTTGCATCAGATTCTTACTGTTGCCGTAATGTCTGATGCGATACTTTCCCGCCTCTATATCTCGAGGAATATCCCAAACAATATCCACTTCACTCTCGCCGAAGAAAGTGTTGGTTCGGCGCCAATAAAATCTAGTTATATTCGGCAATAATTTAGCAAAACTTGTATAATATTTGATCACATGATGGCATACCTGGTCTCCCAGTTGGCATCGGTTGCGATAAGACTCCAGTTAGAAGTGTTTGCAATCAATTTCTCGACGGCCAGGAAAGTGCTCTCAGATTTCAAATCGTTTCGTGGATTTGCGGCCACGAAAGTCACTTTGACGGTCGCGCCCGGACTGTACCGGTCGTTGGCATCGGTCACAACGTCGCCGAACCTCTTACCAAAAGGAGAGCCGTCGTAAATAACGCCCGGTTTTAGGCATATTTGCGACTGTAATAGATTTGGTTCTGTGGGTCCGGCGGATACTGACACACCTTTGGCTAAATTAGTGGCCAATTGACTGTATTGTTGAATATATGCGTTAAGAGTGTGCGGACCAAACAAAGTGGAGGCGCCTTCGTATCGCTGGATTTGGTATCTGAGTATAAGTTGTAAAAGTAAAGCACAAATGATTTTAAAATAATGTTTTGTTCATTATTTTTATTGTTGACCTACTCTTCAAATGTCGCCACATATGAGGAATAAGCGTTGGCCAGACCTGCGATCACAACATCCACATCACTGTTGGCCGACTCTTTATCAAACGCCACTTTCACGGCGTCCCGAAGTCTACGGCCAGACATTGTGGTCAACTCCGCGGGAACCGCTATAATAAGTAGTCCTCCGATTCTGAATATCTGTGTCGGCAAAACAGACGGTTCCCACAAATACGGGAAATGCATTTCTCCGGTGGCGAAGAGAATAGGCTTTGGGTTTTGGCAGTCAATCAATTGCTGAGAAGGAGTCCTAATTAGGTTTCGCACCAAATTCCAGAAGGGAGACGAACTCGTGTCACCTTTAGTCCAGAACGGGTCAAACTTAGATCATGTGAGCAAATACCTCGACAAAGTTAATACAAGTTCATACCTTGACGAAAATCAAAAGCCCCTGGTCCATCTGTAGTGCCGGCCGCGAAGCTGTAACCCATTGCCGCCGCGCAAGTCTTAGCGGTCGCGTTGTTGGGCAACTGAATGGTCACGTCTGACATATTGATAGTTTGATGAATGTATTGGATATTTCCCGATAGTTCAGTGTCGGCGCTCTTAAAAAGCTCTTTGGCTTTGGAGTATTGGCGGAAACCAATAATTTTAGTGCTTTCAAACATATCATTTCCCGGACCAAAGGCAACACAATTTTCATTCTTTAAAGTTATCATTTTTAAAAATATTATTTTATCCAAAAAACGGAGTACTGGTCACACATACCCGTCCGCCGCAAGTACTGGTGTTCGTATCGCACGGCAATCCAGTGTCCAAACAAAACGGGCCTTTAGTGTTAGGCGAGACGTCGCCCTCATTTGATTGCGGGAATAATGCCACGAATGGTCCCTAAAAGATGAGTACAGATCATAAATATGTCATAAAATAGCAATTTGGTCATACCTTCCCGTGAAGTGTCCCGCCATTGATATCCTGTTCAAAGAGCTGTGAGGCGTAACCCTTGTTATCACCGCTAATAAGTTTATTAGTGTTGTTCATAGAAGTCGCGTGAACTGCAAACCAAGAGATCGCACCCACAGGTCGGCCGTTATTGTCGGCCAGTTTAAGAACAGTCATATTCTTGTCGGTGTTGTACTCGTATTTATCCCTTTCCTCTTTGGTATTGTTTGCATAAGCGGTTGGACTCCTATTAATACTGGCGTCGAGTAATTGTCCCGTTTTTAAATAGATATTTCCTTCGGTCATATTATGGTGGGCTCTGTCTATACTTCGGACGATACCATCTCTGATGGCCTTAAAGTTTTGCTCAATGAATCCCTGCGACGATATTATGTACAAAATATATTGCAGAAAACCGGCCGGACCTGAATGGGTGTGCGTTGAGGCCAACATCACGTTGTTTATAGTGTACACCCCTTTGTAATTCTGCTCCAGAATTTTGATCACCTGAACAATGCATATAATTTAATTTTCGTTAGCCTTAAAAGCATACCATTTATTGAATTTAGCTGTTAATGTACAGCTAAATAATGTAATTTAATGCCATATTCTTAATAAATTCAATACTTCTATACAATATAATGCCTATTATTATGTAAATCATTTTCTGATAATAATATTATATAAGTATTGTATTTATATAAGTTGTCAAACATTGTTATCAGTAATTAGATATTGACAATTGTGTCATTTTACACTTGACAACTACTTACATTATATATAATAAAAATAATTAATTGTGGTTAAAACTGACCTCCAATTTGATGAGCTGTGATATCATAGCGATATCTGCGGAGACAAAGACCACTCTGTTTCCCGAGAGGTCCTCAATAATAGCGGCTCTACTAAAGAGTCTTAGATGAATGCCGTGTGTGTCCTGACCCGGCTTTGCGTAACCCATCTATGTATTAAAATCAATCGTGAATACATAAACATAAGACCTGTTCATAAACTTCACCAAACATACCATATTAATATCAGCGGCCGGACCAGTGATATCACCGATTCCCACACCGATCCGGTATTTATCACATCCGACCGGTGAGACAACGGCGTGAAGACATACCACACATAGTATGGTGTGGATGAAAAAGGACTGCATTCGGATGCCATCCATGTCTGAGATGTCTATTTGTGTCTACAATTCACATGATATGCATTGAAGGCAAACCAGTAATGAATTGATGCGAAAGTGAAATAAATATAACTTTGACGTGAAGTGAAGGCAAACATGAGTTGAGGCACTCATTCAGTGCCTAATAATTCATTGATTAGAAACTTATGGTGTGTTAAGCAGTGATGCGATTCTCGAGATAGAGAAACACCACTTCATTACTGTATTACTTCATTACATGTACTGAATATTGCGCTCACTTTTTCATCGTTACCATAGATTATATGGGAGACAGACATTAGGCGTTCATTTCATTGCTATTAACCATATATTCAAATGGTTTACGATTATGAATAGGAATTGTAATAATAGGACAATCAATGACCCAATTAATGAATTACATGTAATGTATGAATAATTTCTAAATTGTTGTATAAATTCCACTCATTTTCCGATAAAGTACATAATAAAAGTCTATCATTTGGTTGAACACCAATTAAAAGTGCACAACAAGTGAGCAGTCAATCAATAATAAGTTTGAATGTCATCCAAATGTTGAATTTATTTAGTTTTTCCACAGCTTTACATAGATTTATAGTTTCTATAGATATCTACAGTCGAGTGCAAAGAATTTATCCTTCATTTAAATATCACAATTGAATTCATAAATTCATAAAAAATTATGACTTTTTGTGGTGTAATATCTCCGGGTCTGACTTCATTAAAAGTAAATACAACTTTTAATTGTAACAATCAGATTATCTAACAATATAATACTTATCATTACATAAACAATTAATATTTAATATAATAAAACGAATGAATTGTTCACTTAATATATCAATATTTGTATATATTTAATAATCCCATACTATCTGTCGATTTATAATAAATTCAATTTTCAATGACTATTTATTTAGAAAGATTTCAAAACTAAAATTTATTTCTTGTAATAATCATTTCCTGTTGTATATAATAATAATATATTTTGCAAACAAATATAAAAATATTGTTATTCTGCAAACATGATGTGTTTGCAATTGAAATCATAACTCATAAATCCAGGTAAATATGGGAGTGAAATGGGTATGAATTGAATGAACAAATTCATCGCTATTGTCATCGCGATTGAAAGGAAGCGGTTGTTTGGATCGCATAGTCATATATCCATTGCTTACAAACCGAAAGATAGTTTTTATGAGATGAAGAAAAAGAGCGTGAATTATGGAGAAGTGGTATAACTATAGTAGTTATGGTCAGAGGAATAGAGGAATAGCTGTTCAGATGAAAGACGAAACAGAGAGAAATCGGAGGCTCACTAGTAGTCACTACTCACTACACGGCCTCTCAATTCTCACACATTTAGACCTAACCATACATTTCTTTTTCTCAATGATAAATGAATTTTTACTTTTTTGTTGTAACGTTAAGCGGAAGTTTGGCAAATAAGCCATGATATGGCGTACAGTGCAAGACATGCATACATCCCGTCATTTCATTTAACTGGACTCTCACTTTACTACCCGTTATATGTGTTTCCATAACCCGTTTTCCCCCACCGTTTTCACTGACCATTTGTCGCTGGAGATGGTATTTGCAATTGAAATCCATTAATCAATTTTAGAGTTAATAGTAAAATATGTTTTTCCATTAATGTTTGCTTTCTTTTTTGTTTCGTTAACCCAATACTTTTGACATTTTTGTTCACAACATAAACAGCCGTTTCGTTTGCCAATACTGTACAGTTACTGTACAAAAGTTACAAAACTATCGGACATATGATTAAATCCTTTGCCAAAGCCATTAGCGCTTCAAACGCTTGATTAACATTTTTGGACATAAATTTTATTGACAAATATTTTTGTAATGCAAACAAATTTTTGTAATTCAAGACATACGAGAAAACAAAGTTGTTTTTGTAAATAATTTGCTAATTTCATCAATACATTTGTGGTAGCGATGATTGAAATAAATTGAATCAAATTGAAATGAATTTATTTTGATTTGTATATAAAAGGCATTCAATATATTGTCAGCCTATTGTCAATACTGTATAAATGTGTTGTAATATAGATATAAAATACAATAAATTATTTTAAATTAATTATAATACGCCACTTTATTATTAAATTAGTAATTATAATTATTAAAACAATAATCAAATTTAATGTTGTATTTGAGTATATAATTTAATTTATAATTATTCATTTAAATAATAAAAAACAATAACTTATAATAATGCATGTAAAGTATATATAATTAATTATTTAAAATAAAAATGTTTATCAAATGTTTGTAATAAATGAGTTAACTTTGTATAAAATAAATTAAACAATTGATTTTATTAAAATTAAAAAATTATGTCATCGTCTAATTAATAGTTTCAAGATTGTTAATAAATAATAATAATTTTGTATAACTTTATTAAATTGCAAAAAATAGATGATTTTGAGAAATGTTTGACATAAAAAAGAGACATTTATTGTCGGAATAACAATATGTGTTCTACAATATACCAAATATTAAAATTTATATTGAATTTTATTTCAACAATACCTTTAATTTTTAATGATTTTTTGGTTACTCTTTAGATGTCATGTTAGTTAACATTCAAAAAATAGTTATTATAAAAGAGTGAATTGAAAAGTTTGTTTGTCATTGAAGTGCACTTTTCGACACAATTTCTCATTTGAAGAGATTTTTTTGGTGCAGATATTTTGTTGAATATATTTGTGACACAATAACAGCTCAACAAAGAGAGTGAGAGAGAAAAGGGAATATATGAGGGAATCAGTGGATGAAAAGGGTATTTCTTATGAGTGTTTCCACTAGTGATGGGTTGAAATGCATAATCGGATTATTCAGGTGT